ATCTATTTTAAGAGCATATTTTCAAATGCTGTTTTTTTTTTTCTAGCTAAGTATATTACCGATGTTGCAAAGAGATAAGTGTCTGTCGAAAGATGTATAATTTGCATTTGAAACCGCCGTGTTTTGCCGCTTATATTGCTTCGCGTGAATAACAATTTTGGTTGCCAGTATATACTTTTTGTTTATGCTAGAAATTGTAACATCTGTAAAAAAGAAAAGGATGAGAAAGCAGTTGTATTTTTCTAGACGGTATTATAGCAATTATAAATTTAAGCATTTATTCGACAAAAAAGTAACTGATTTATGCTCTTCATGTATACATAACTTTTAAGTTGAAAAATAATTCTGAATTAGCTTTTAATGTATGGTTATGATTTAACCAAATGTTTATATTTTATAAGATATTTTTTCGCGAATTGTCGTGAAACGAATGCGCCGATGACAATCTGATGACTTTTTTGACATTTTGATTTACAGATGCCGTCAACCTCAATCAGAAAACGGGTATACGGTATATTTCGAACTACATTTTCGGGAGCTGCAACTACAGATGACACAACTGTTGATTTGCCAAAGAAAGAATGCTGCAACAGCTGTAATGATCGTCCCTCATCATCCACGAATAATTCTTTTATTTCTGAATGCATCTTAAATGGGTAAGTTTATTGGGATCATATACTTTTTTTTTTGTTGTTTCTTCCTGGTTCCATTTTTTCTTTTCTTTTATCTTTTTTTTTTCTCAAACAATTATTTTATTTTGTAATTAGGAACTGCTATCAGTTTGTTGTTTTTGGAAACAAAGAGCAATTGTCCAAGGTAATTATATGTTGGTGTAAAGAGGCGATTAAAATTTTTTGTAGTCTAAAATTTAGCTTTGAAGTGTGTCCATTAACTAGTCTAGAAAACTTAACTGTGTTTGTTATGATTGCAGGCTTTTCAAGTTTCTTTCAGAATCCTTGTGAATGAATTTGATACTCGTTTTGCTTTTGTGCGGACTTCTTTTTTGAAATGATCATAAAACAGGGTGATGAGCTGGCTGATTAAGCAAGTATGTAATCCTGTAGTAAATGGTATCGGTTTCCGAACATGAGAATTTGTAGGCTCTCATTGCCACATGGTGAAACACCGTTCATATGTTCATTTTTGTGGCTAAATGTATCTGCGGTTAGCGGCATGGGGCATGTGTATATTTCGTAACTTCTAGTGATAAACACTTGGCTTAGGTCCACCTCTCGGCCTCTGAGGATATTTTTTTTTGATTCCTGTAACGAGTTTTCATCAGTTGGATGGGCTTTTTTTTTTTTAAAATGTTGAGCTATTATTCAAGCCAGATGGTAAGAGATGTCTAGGTTCAGAGTATTCCGACTTACTTGCAAACTGCCGGTTGAAATATTGTGTTCAAGAGATAGAGGTGAATATACTTCATGTAAGAGCAGAAAATCTGTCGCTTACTAGACGTGGCTACACTTCAGAAAACATGTAAATTGAAAGATATATCAGTTACCAAGCAAAGCTTAGGAGTTATAAAGAATTTAGATATTGAGGGTTCTAATTTTGCTACACCCCGTAGTTTCTTGTTGAACATGATGTGACCTCAGCGTTATTTTAACTAAAAATCAGTTTACCGTTACATAACATATGCACTTTTATCTCTATGGCTGTGTTTATGGGCACTTAGTAAGATTGTTTAATAACTGAAAATTTATTTGTTTTACCAAATTGTTTTTGGGAGAAGTAATCTTTTCTTTAAAGAGAGGATAAGTATTAGAAAAGAAAAGTTGTCTTCTGTGAATTTTTCTTTGTGCGTTTGGCAGTTTATTATTTGCCCTCTTTATCATGACGGGGTAAATTTATAAAATCGTTTTTTGAAGGCGAAATGGAAAGAAGAATGAGGCTGAAACGTACTCTGGAAAGACAGGACTTGATCTTCCCGTTCTAATGTTAGAGCCATGGTCCAGACATATTAGAGCTTCATATACTGGACCGGAAGGCGGCCTGACTGAGGTACATCAAAATGTTCCTTTTTTTTGTTTGATTTTCATAATTCTTTTCTTTCAGGTAAATGGAATAAGGCGCCAGCCTCTTGTTAGCATGGCAAATTTGGATGACGAGTTATCCTTGAGCTTTGACGGTGATTCGCTAGACGAATGTAATGGCGCAAGATGTTCTGTGGAGGAGGATCAGACGAGGTTACAACACTCGACATCTGGCCTGTTAGGGTCCTGTAGTTCTTTAATCAACACTCTGAATTCAGATGGTGAAGGGTCTTATTCAGAAGCTGGTAATTTTGTTTTGGTTATTTAGCTCTGTTAGTGCAATTCAGGAAAGAAAGTATTTGTTTTTATCAGTTTCTTGATTTGTTTTTAAGTTTTTAATCATATTTATAATGGGAGCTAACTAGATTTGGAGATGCTACGCTTTTCTTCTTTCAGAGTCATATAATTGGAATAATTTTGATGAAGAACGGTGTTTTGGCATATCAAAATCTTTATATGAAAAAAATCCTATGACTGGAATTAATGCGGGTAATCCAATAGCTGATGTATTCGGTATCATCGTTCGTGATAATAATGTTATTATGGCACTGGCGGACGGCGTGAACTGGGGAGAGGGGTCTCGACTAGCAGCACGGTGTGCAATACGTGGTGCAATGGATCATCTCAACAGTCACCTCTTCGCTGAAGAATGTAAAGCCACAACGGTAGACTTCATTAACAATTGTTAAAAGTTGGAGTGCGTGATGTTGGTTAGCCAATAAGGATAGCTGCTGAATTTCCAGTGACGGAAGATAATTTTTTTTGAAAATTATCGTCACAGTTGTAAGTTGCTGTTCAAAATCTTAAATTCTTTCCAGGAAGTCTTTCACATCTTGCTTGGAGCTTTCAGTTCGGCTCACACTCTGATAATTCAAGAAGGGGGCTTCTTAACAACACTTTGTGTTGCTGTAGCTATTCAGGTATGACAAAGTATACCTATTCTTTTGAGTCTCTTTTAGGAGGTCTAATTTTGATTTGATTTAATTTTCGTTTGTTTAGTTTCTAGTCCTAGTGCAGAAGTGAGAGAAGTTAAACTAGGAGCTGGTGATGCGCCGAGCATCCTCTTTGAAAGTGAGCTCTCAGTACAACTCTCGTGCAAATACGGGGCAGGGTGATTCTAAATCAAACCGTCTTCAATTACTGCCAGTAGCGAAGATTTGACAAAACTACCTTAAAACTTTTGAAATTGTTAAGTAGCCATACCCCAAATACTCCTTGAATAGGGAAGGATACAAATTATAATTGGGATTTGGAACACTAGGAGTGCTAAAAACTGGTGGTCGTACTGCCGCTTTCTAAAATAGGATACGGCTCTTATTTCTTGAACTTTCTGCCTGCTGGTAATAATTTGAAGCATTCTGTTTATTTTTTTGAAGAAATGGGCTAATTTTGAGAGAGTTTTGAGGTGTAAGGAGTTGTTGGGTAGAGTTAGATTCAGCAGAGCTCGAGTTCTTAGGACAAGTAATAAAATCAGACTTTATTTTGAACGAGTTCACGAAGGGTAATGGCTTTTGCTAGGGGACAGCATATAGTCATTCTTCTTGGCCAAGGATTCTGCAGAAGTAGATGTTTTTTTGAAACCAAGTGGTACATCAGAGACATACCATTTCCATTCCTGACGATTAAAGCAAACATTTGTTGCGAATTGTCATTTTGAAAAGGATATTTATCTGGCGAAGGAACAACAAACTAAAGTTGACCCCTAAAAAAATGGCAGCTTTTCAATATGAGAACTCAAACTCCCGTGTGGTAGGAAGGACAAAATATAAAACCAGTAATTCCTCAGTACTTTCAATGGAGGAGTTTTATTCTACCCATCATATTCTGCTGGCTGCGTTTTTTGGACTACTCTTGATTTCATGCCTTAACATCAAAAGTTCCTCTGGAAAACCACTTGAAGGCTACTCGCAAGTCGTGTTTTGTATTATAGTAGGAATCCACTGGATTTACTTTACCATAACTCCATCTTTGTCTGTTAGTGCTCTACGGAAGATAGTAGTGATTATCATTTAATTGCTTAGGACTCACCTCTTGAAGAAGTACTAGTATTTATATTTAAAATAAACATTGAAAAATAATAAAATTCAACCTATTTCCGGTAATTCAACCTACTTTTATTTTGGTTATTTAATTTAAGGTCGAAGGGGGCTAATTATTAATATACACTCAACCATTTTTTTAAATAGTACCAGCGATTAGTGAATTAGATGGGAGTGGTTGAACGTAAATATTGGTTAGTGTCAAATTAAAGAAAGCAGCTTTTAGCTTCGACAAAGTGACACTTGGGCATTATGCGTATGCAATGTTGGCGATTCACTATGTTTTGTTTACAGCCCTGTCTCCGGAGTTAGAGAGGTATGCAAGGTTCTTTTACTGCTATTTAATAGCACTTGCACTAATGT